CTTGTATAAAACCTTATTATTATTGTACTATACCATCTATATTCTGCTGCTTCTTCTATATTCTAGTTCTTTATTTCTATTATAATATTATAATTCTTTTTTTATACTGGTTCTTTATCTCTACTCTGGTTCTTCACATCACACTGAATGCTCTCTCTACCCGTTATGACGATCTTAACAGGCCTGATTGGACTTAACGGTAATAAACAGTAGTATAAACAGCAGACAGGTAACTGCTTTTATGATACAGACAATGCCTCCTCCATTTTTACCATTCCCCTCTCTCTCTACTGTCTTTATACTAAGGCTTCTGCTAGCTGTGTAGGAGAACTTGCTCCAATAACGTCATTAAAGTCATCAAACCCCATGTAATCAATAAATCAAAGGAAAACGTGCCGGGTCAAAACCCCAGTAATTTAATTCCTGTACGTGGCTACGTCTGATCACGCTCACATGTTCATCTCCTGATTTCTCTATTTACAAAACCTCCCTCAAACAATTTTCTCTTTGCGAAGCATTGCCAGTCGATTTTTTCACTGCCTGTGTTTGACCTCTTGCCTTTTACAGTTCTTGGGTCTGAGCTTTTGTACTTTTGCACTTTTGTACTTTTTGCTGGGAATGATTTGAAGAGGGATGCAAAGGGATGTGTCCCTCTGTTAAAAGAAAAGTACAAAAATCATCCCCCTTGTAAAACTGCCACCCTTTTTTGATAGTGTTTGGATTAATGTAATTAAGTGATACGATTAGATTGTACTGATCTAAAATCTTTATTATACATACTTAAATTCTGCCCACATTTGAGATTTACACACTAAATTGCCTTTTGAAGTATTTGAAGTACCCCCATTCCATTTACATCTCCCTTGATTAAAAAAAAAAAACTGACCACTGATTAAACATATCTGTTAGCAGGACAATACAGATATATTGCTATGCTGTTGATAAGTTATTTAAATTCTTTGCAAATATGATTTAAGACATAGAGCAAGAATAATCCTTGTATTTTTACTGATGAATAAAACATTGTATATACTTCATTCTTTTCCCAATTAATTGATTAATCAAGGTAATGATGGGTTGATTAAGCCATTATGGAAACAGTTGTCAGTTGTAACTCCACAATTACTAAATTACAAAACTATTACCGTCACTACGTCATTTGCCCTGTACTAGGCCAAGTTCAGTGTGGCTCATCCATACTAGTCTCAACTTAGGCCTTGAAGAAGCTTGACACTGACCTGCCTCTCCTCTCCTTGCACTTTACGCCAGAAGACATCCTGCACTTTCTTCTTCTCTATGCATTTATTGTGAGTGGTGTGCAAGGATTCATCACATTACTGAGAGAGAGAGACAGAGAGAGAAAGAGAGAGAGATACATAGATAAAGACAGAAAAAGAGAGAAGTTGGAAATGTAGCTATTTCAGCTAGATTTGTTAAAGGATTTGATTGGGTTCATTCTGTTTTTCTCTCCAATATCTGATGCGGAATTTTCTGCTGACATCAACAAAATTCCGATACCTGGTATTGAATCAGTGCCATTTGTAAACTAGAAGTGTAGGCAGGCCACATGTGTTGACCAGCTTCAGTGGGACTTCCAGTACTTATCGTCATGGGCACAGGCAGTGGTCAGCACACAGGCAGGCAGACAAGAAAAATCCGTAATCTGATACCAGCAGGGGCTAAATCACAAAGAAAAACGAAGAACTGTAAACACTGAGAAAGATGAACACGAGAATGGCAAGATTTTGCGAAAGATGAGACCAAAACTAGAGGTATTTGTTGTCTCATAAATGAGTTGTTGATTCAGCTGCAGGTGTGTGGAATGTTGAGTAGAGGAAACAGGATGGTGCTGTTGCTGATGAGAGCCAATGCAGGATGAGAGGCTGGGATTCGGCTGAGCAGGAGACTGGGAGGGTCTCAGAGCAGGAGACTGGAAATCTGGCTGGGCAGCTGTGAAAATTGGGGCTCATCATCATTTGACCTTCAGACACCACATTCCATTCTGTACTGTGGGGCAAAACAGTCCAAATTCCTTATAAGGATTGGGATGGGTGTAATGGAAGCCTGTGTGTATATTTCTGTCCGATGGCTTAAAAGGCTATGAAATGTGGCCAACAGAGGGGCTGCAATAATGGACCACTTCTATCCATGCATGGAAATATCGGATTAAAATGATCGCACCCTCTACCTGTATCTGAGGCTCTTAGATGGTTTCAGCGACGAGGATGGGATTCACCAGCAGTCGGTCGGAGGCTGGTCATTTTGTGTTCTGGATTAGACATACAAAGATCTGGTAAAGACTTGTGTGTAATTAGATCATGGATCAAATAAGTAAACACATAGAGAGACAGTGGCAATTTTTTCATGGATTAGAATTTTAACAAGGCTGAATACTGCAGGTATTAAAGAATGGTTCTTATTCCTACTGGGATCCTGCTATTGCTCATTATTGTCAATCCAGTGGTAAAAACCACACCGACATTCGAATATATATATTTTTTGAGCGTATATTCAAATTTCAATGTTTGAAGTTCATTTTGACAAACAAGAAGGAGGGGATATTGTAGAATTGGGGCATCATCACTTCTCTTGTACTGGAGCAAACGTTCAGCCACCATGCTCTATATGTCAGAATGATGTATATATTTGGTGTGTGCGTTTGCGGCTAAGACAGGGGATTCAGGAATTGTCCGCTTCTTCCCATGCATGAAAAAATGTAATTAAAATGATCAAACCTTCAACATATACCAGAGTTTCATCCAGAGGAGACTGGGAGACCATAAGAGAATGACACTGGGAGTGAGGCTGGTTGAGGAGACTGCGAGGCCTTGCCTTACTTCTTCGTCTTATATTTTGCTTTTCCTTTTTTCACCGTCTCCTCTGCCTTTCCATCTTCGCTATTCTACTCTTTTCTCCTTTCTTCCACCTCTTTAGACCGGATCTGTCACACAATATTAACTTGCTTTCAGCATAGTATCTAACACAACAACACACCATACTAGCACAGGAGTTATACAGAAGTGGTAAGCATGTGCACCACCATCCCACACACCTCAGCGCTCTGGTTCGTTTTACAGGGAGAGCTGATGCGAGTTCCTGTCTTCAAGATCAAACCCTCCAGTAACTGCACCCTATCCTCTCCTCTTTCACAGTCCTCCAAGGCTTTATGAAGCTGTGACAACCTGGAAAACACAAAAAAACACAAAGAGTTGTGGAGTGTTGGATTTTCTCAAATTTGTAATATTACCACATAACAAGGATTCTCATGAAAGTTCAATCAAAATTGGGAATGCTTAAACTGTTCATACCTATTATGTAGAGCTGCAACAACTAATCGACATCATTGATAACACTGATAATGAAAGACTGCAAGGAATCCAATTATCAATTAGTTAGATTAGACTGAAAGCGTGTCCACTTCTCATTTATATCACTTAATTCACAGAGGGAAAATATAGATGGTACAGACTACAGTACAAGGCTGTGCACGACAGGAAAAGAAAAATATCGCAACACCACTTTAAGGTCATCTAAAAAGAAGGTTTTCTATCTGATGATCTTACTCAGCATGGCAGAATGACTCACTGATTATGACGAAAGCCACCACCCCTTGTAAAAACTGCCATCCTTCTTTCTATTAATGTCGCACTAACATTATTATGTGATATCCAAGAAAATGTCTACTATACATACTTTAATTCCATCCATATTAGAGATTTACTTGCCAAGGTCCCTTGGATGTATGTGGACAACCCCCACTTCCACCAAGTGGTTAGAAATTGTATATAGAATATCATAGATGATGACCGAACTGTTTCTGTGTGGTTAGCGATATCAGATTTCATTATGTAATGTTACCAACCACCCAGACCTATTTCATTTATTTTTGCTTTATCATTAGAGGATAAATCATTTAAACAGCAATGCAAGGTTCTTGTAAAATCAACCTGCCTGCAGAGTGATTGTACTGCCATTTAATATTTGTTTATGTGCTATTCCACTACCCTTTCTGCCATATTCACACTGAGCAAAGTTTTGGAGGCCAATGCAGATCTGTTGCTCTGCCCTTGATAAAGATCTTTGTTTTTTTTTTAAATATGATTTAAACTATATGGTAAGAAATAATCCTTGTATTTTTAATTAGTAAAATATTGTTTATAATATTGTGAAATATTAATTTATTGGGAGTCTAATAACTGCATTTTTTTTCTTTCAATGAGTGACTAACTAATGAAAGTCATAATGAGCTGATTAGTTTATAAAAACAGATGTCGTTGCAGCTCTACTTTTATGTGGTATGAATTACTGCACAGAATCACTATATAATTTGCCCTGGCCTAGACCAAGTTCATTGTGTGGCTTCTTCATGCTAGTCGCAGCTTAGGCCTTAATGAAGCTCAACACTGACCTGCCTCTCCTCTCCATGCAGTTCATTATGCCAGCAGATATCCTGCACTCTGTGTCTCTCTGTGCGTCTCGCTGCATCAGAGAGGACATTATGTTGACCGAGGATGGTCTGCAAGGGGTCGTCACATTACTGACAGAAAGAGAAATATGTCAATTTGTTGAAAATAACAGACAAACGTTAAAGAAATGATGAATTAAAGTGTTACCATTATCTACTGATAGTGACAAATCTCTGAATGCTTTTTTAAGAAAATAACACATGAGGCCGAATGTAACAGTGATTTTGCAGTGAAAAACAGCAACAAAATACAATATAATAAAATAAATGTATGTCATTACTGTGAATAATAGTTGCTGTACAAAATTCTTCTGGTAAGCAATGTAGTTTATTAACTGCAGGTTATAGATGCCAAACAAGATAATGGTTAAAGAATAATGACAGAACTCAAGTGAAAGGTGTGGTCATATGTGTGGCTCATCCAATTGGATTTTAGAACTGAAAATTACTAAAATCTCTTTAGTAATTTATATAATATAAATACCTACAGAAATATTATTTTAGTCATTGTTTTAAAGAATGTCTATATGTCTCACTAGTGTGGCTCTCTTCTGTCCTCAGGAGGTGGGCAGCGGAGAAAGAGGGACTCCTCCACCAGTTTCTCCATTGTCCTTTTAGGATGTTTCATCTGTAGTGAGAGAAAAACAATGCGCTCACCATCAAGATCTTCTTTTATTATAAGCAACAACATGGCCACCACACTTCTACAGATATCAGTACAATCTGCATCTGTTCTGAACACCAACCTGGTGAGAGTATCCATAGCCAAAGGACCCATATGTAAAGGTCAGGTCTGCATCCAACTTGCACACTTTCTGAAAATATAAGAAATCAATCTTACATCTCTTTTTCTTCCACATAAACAGAAAAAATAATGTAATATTTCAAAGTAAGCATGACTTACTTTGCCTCCAAGCCTCAAATCAATCTGCTGGCTAACTGATGATTTCTGCTGGTAAAAAAGAAGCATTATGTTAGTCATTATTGGTAATCAGAGACACTGAGTGGCTTAAAAGAAAACGTTCTACAGATGTGTGAATGAGGGTGTGTCTCACATAAAGGACTTCCTGCAGCTTGATGGTGGTGCTGCCCATGAGTTTGGGGGCAGCTGAATCTCCATCAAAAGAGATCAAATCCACCTTTACTGAACTGGACTCCTGGACCCCTAGAGCCTCTTCTTTTTGGATCTGCAAACACAGTCAGGAAAGGCCAGAAGGATTACAATTATTTTGGAAAAGCAGTTCTTCTCATCTGAGCAGCTACTCACTCAGTTTGGATGATAATGCAAATTGAAACAAACGATTATGTTTTGCACAATTATTGTGGTAAATAATATTATTGTGCAAAATTAAAATAAGAAGTACGACACGTGAGCATTGCAGTGCTTTACCCTATAGCTTGCATTTTGTGAATAACTTCTTCTTCTCTGGCTACAAGTTTGGTTTAGAACCATGGTGTATTGTCTTTATTTGTTGTTGCTGCTAGCTGTGTAGCCTTTAAATTACTAACTAGTAAGATAGAAGAGTAAAGTAATGAAGTTGTATCAGCAGTGCTGTATAACAGATGGAGTAGTTTGCTCATAAAATGTTATGATTTTAAAATATTAAGCATTTCAAAGTATCTTGAAGCTAATTTTGTTTTTATATTTCCAGGTTTGAAAAGGCAGTTGCTTCAGATTGCACTGATTTGTGACTTCTGCTGCTGAAGTGAGCACCTAAATTCACTCGATCCCTCACCCCTTCGAGCGCTCATCCAATAAAATTAGTTTGTGTAAATACAGTAATGATACGGCCCTTAAGATGGCATCGAGAATGATTAACATCATTTGAGTGATTTAATGACCAGAGTATCTTTAATTTTAACTTTACTTATTTATCTGTTGTACACAAGAAGAAGACACTGATAAGTAGTAGTAACCTGTATGGAGAAGTGTTTCACTTCATTGAAAGTTAGGTTGTCTTTGAAGGGCTGCAGCCTGGAGCACTTCACGATTCTCCCAACAGTGATCCTCACCATACACTGAGTGTCTTTCTGTATTTGAGCTGGTGCAGGGGTCAGGAAAACAGCCAAACCAGAACCAGCACAATTGATCCATGCAGACAAAATCAACTGATTTTAGTTTCATGGCTAGATAACAACACAAACACAAACCCACAGACTACACATATAACAGTGAGACTGGAATAAACTCTAAGGATACAGTTTTTCTTGAAGTCTCTGCAGCCTCTTATGCGTATAGTCAGGACCCCAGTCTGTGCAATGAAAAAAACAAAGACATCCATTCACATCATTCCCTAATATATTCATGATTAAGATGACTTTATACTTGATAGCATGCCACAATGTGGACAGCGAGAGAGCCAAGGTGTAAAATGCTGAAATAAAGAGATATTTTAAAACATTTGAATCTATTTGTTAGGCTTATAAAATTAAAAAGACAAACCGGAGCTCCGAGTGCCACCAATGGACGACGTGGGGACTTGTCCTTAGGCTCTTCTTCCTTATCTTGAACAGCCTGAACTGAGAATTTTTTTCGGAACTGCAGAGCAGAATTAAAAAAACGTAAGACAACAAAAGTAAAGTTTCAGTAAATAAAATGCTCAATTAATTTTTAACCTGTTAAAAAAACAACAAATATTAATGGTGAAATGATTTAATAAACTCCGTAAATGAAATACTGTTAATTGTTTTATAAAAGGAGCAGCTTTCAATGAAAAATATCATGTAAACGCATCTTTTTGCGCAGTGTGCGAGGAAGTAATTACCTCCATGATGGACTGAACTCCAGAGTGAATACTGGATAGAACACTGGACAGCACTCTCTGCACCACATTCTTTCTAGATGTGCTGGGTGCTGCGGGCTCCATCTGAGAGATTAAAACATGGTTTTGTTTACTAAAATGTACATATTATGTAATCTAACCACGTTACCCACAGAGTTCTTCAACTGACTTTGTCTTGGTTTCAATATACTGGCTAAAAATGTTGACAAGACGGCACTTAGCAGACCCATAAAAAGTATTTACTGAAAACTGTATAGTAGTTACTGAATAATAAGCACAAGGTTCAAATGGATTAACCCCTTAAATGGCCACGGTCCAAAGTTTTACTACACACTTCTACATCCTAAGAATAGCTCAGCCAGTTTGCATTGAAGCCCAGAAATTACTGAATAATAGGCCTTAGCATGTAATAAGCCTGGGATTTTAAGGGGTTAAGTAAGCTGAAGACACTGGGCCTCATTCACCACTATCTTCCTAAGTTTTTTTCTTTCAGTTTTTCTTGAGAAAGGTCCTAAGAAAATATCTATGTCAGATTCATGATGTGTTCTTAAGGACTGTTCGCACCTTTGTGCTCTTGTGTGCATAGATTCTGTTCTTACCTAAGAAAAAAACCCCAAATGAGAACAGATTGGTGAACGTCAGACTCTACGTGAATACTGTGTAGGTGAGTTTTAGAAAGACATTTCAATTTAAGAACGGTTGGTGAAGGAGGCTCGCTGTTTTTAACCCCGACCACCCCTGTATTCTTTTTCTACAGGCCCATTTAGAAGGTGGACTTGGGTCTCACCTGAAGGTTCTCCATCTCGATCGTAACTTCTTTTCCGTTTTCTACTGCCTCCTGACTCTCTCTCCTCTCTTTCAGCTGTTCCTCCTCTCTCTGCTTCTCCATTTCCTCAAGCAGCTCTCCTTCACTCTTCCTCTCCTTTATCACTTCCTGCTTCTCACTGACTGTAGCCATCTTCTTATCATCACGCTTTTCTTTCTTTTCTTCCATTTCTCTGTCTGCCTTCACTACAGTAATGACAATTTCTTTACAGATGACCTCCCTTTGTCCCGTCCTCTCTTCCTCCCTCTGTTTTTCTTCCTGTACCATTCTCTCCTTCATTGCTTCCATCTCTCTCTTCCATTCCTTCTTTGTCTGTCTGGTTTTTGAAGTCTCCATCTCTACTCCTGCTATTTTCTTCTTCAGGGTCTTCAGCTCTCTTTTCAGCTCTTTCTTTCTCTCTCTGAATCCCTGAATCTCCTCCTCAAGCAGTCTCACTGCCTCTTCCAGAGCCCTGATCTCCTTATCGTTCTCCTGCTCCATATTCTGAGATTATTTTGAGAAATTTTAGGAAATAAGGTCACAGACTACACATTTCATTACATAGCAGTATGCAATGAAGAAATTCTCACTTTATAGTTAGTGTGAGTTCCACTGCTAAGACAATGTTAAATTCTGTTAGCGCTTCAGTGTTATGTTAGCGCCAAACTAGTGGTGGTTTACAATCAAACAGCCTATTATCCTATTCGATTTCTGCTGATCTGTTCAGCCTAGACCTAAATAAACATTTTTTTATATACACGCAATTAATAACAGCAAAAACATACTATGACTTCATATACTTCAAATCTGTAACTAACAGTTACAAACGTACGTGCATTAGTGTGATCCTGCTGCTGTGAACTTTTTCAGTGAGACTTAAAACAGCGCTTCGAATGCTAATATCACCCCCTTGTGGAGAATCTGCTAAACATGGCTTTATAATGACCTGCGAACACACAGTTTATCGTTTAATGATGAATTAATCACGAGGCTGAATTACCTTCCTCTGCCTCTCCTTCTTTCTCTTCTGGGTTGTTTCTTTCTTAGTCAGCTCCATTTCTCTCCTCTCTGTCTGAAGCTGCTTGAGCTGCTCCTCCTCTTTCTGCCTCTCCTGCTTCCTGCCCTTTTTGCGAAACAGGGACATTTTAGGGATGCAGGTGCACCCAGGGGCTGGGGGGCTGGGTGGGGGGCTCAGCTCTCGCTCCTGCTTCATCTCCTGTGGAGCTGTTGACTTTACAAAACAAAATGGCTGGATTCAGTCAGGTGTGCTCCTTCAGAGTCTGATAAATAACTGCTGTGGATTATTAATGTTGTACCTGCTTTGTATTTTGGTGCTTTCTGCTTCTCTTCATGACTTTTTACTCTTCTTCTCTTTTCTCATATAATCACTGAAAACTGATATGGAGAATCATAAATAAGTAAAACTCTTCAGTGTCATACATAAAAATTTACAGTTGTTTTTGTCTAAAAATGCAACAACTGCTTCATTATCAGATGATATCAGTTGAATGAGAAATAATTTACTCTCCCAGTGAAGCATAAGGCCAATTTCACACATATCTACATCATCTGAAACAGCTTGGACAAAGAAATTACAACAAGTGTTAATGAAACTCATCAATATTTTCAGATTATTAACTTTGCTTAATGTATATTTATTCTTTTCTTCCTCCTCAGCAGTATCTAAGTCTCTCACAATTCATATTTCATTATTTTGCAATAATACATGACAATTTTGCAAAAATAATTAACTATTTGGAGATGGGGTCAATAATTTTAAGAATATATGTTATTATTTTGAGACATTATGTTAATTTCTCGAAAAAATAAGTGATTATTTCAAAATAATACATTAAAAATTTCAAAAACTAAGTCAATATTTTGACACTTCAGTTAGTAAAATTTTCATAATGAAGAATTTGCAGTTCACAAAACTGCAGTTTCAGCATTGCAGTCCTTTAGATACAAAATTAACTCTGTAATTATCATCTATCAACTTTTAATCCCATGCAAAACAAACATTACTCTTTTAAAATCCGGTTGGCTTTGTTCACAAACAGTTAGTGAACTACAGACTTTTTGTGTGAATAAAGCTGCATAAAAAGACTCAGACTGACCTGTTTGTGCTGTTATTGCTGTAACGACGCGCTTCTGAAAAGAAAAACACGTTTTCTGGAATTGTCAGCTGGTAGTTCCGAGTATGACTTCACAATGGACCGGTTCTGTGACGTCATCTCTCAGTGACGTGACTTTTATGCCACTGCTTCTCAGTGTTGGCAGGGTTCCAAACTGGGCGGGAAAAAAAAAAAAACTTTTGTTGGGAAAAAAAGTGCTTTCGGACAACAATGTTTTTTCTAGATATTGTGGGGTTTTATACGATACTGTAAAACGTAAAACTGTAAACTGCGAGCTCCCCTCATCCAATCAGTTATCAAAAGATTGGCTGAGCTTTTTTCACTCCTGTTGAGAGGAGGCTGCCGACACGACCCTCGGGGTCGTTCACAGTTTCAAAGGACATGGCGGAGATTATCCGGTTCACTTGGCATTAATAACTGCACATATTTCTGATACAGTGTAAAGTTGGAATGGGGTGTGATCTGATCTGATTCCTTCATTTCTATCAAAATCACTGTTAGTTATTTGCATGGGATCACCCTGTCATATTCAGTACATTCAAACTAAACAACGTTAATAGACTGAAAACATTAATGGGTTTTATTTTACTGAAATGAGTTTCTTTGTCCAAGCGTTTTTCTGGTCGTGTTTGAGACAAAAAAGCGTTTGGTTCTTTGTACCAGTAGCAATAAACACAAAAGAGTGACAGCGCCATCTAGTGACCAATAAAATACTAATCTAGTTTCAAAACATCCCTTATTGGCCTAAAGCAAGATAATGATTATTAGTCCAGTTATATCTACAAAATGAGGGTCAATAAAACAGTGTTTATTTAAAAAGACCACAGGTCCCCAAACTGGCTTAAAATAAAAGTGTTTACGCAGGACAGAGTCCTTCTTCACAGGTGGGTTCTCTGCCTCTCCCCTCCCCAAAAAAAACAGTGTAAAAAAAACTACAGCTGGAGACTTCTTTACTACTATAATAATTATATCACTGCATTAATGATTGTTTGCATTTATTTTACATTTTTTCCAAGCATATTTACGTCTTTTTGTCTCTAAATTCCTTTGATGAATACCTTTATGTTTTTAGTAAAAAAACGCAAATTTTTATGAACTCTGACATTTCTTTGTTGTTAATTTTACAGCAACATCCTTTCTATATCCTATGCTTCAAGTTTAAAATATGTCCGCAGAAAATGATAGCACACTGCTATTGAACTGAAAACTGGTCTGAGATAATGAAGGAAATTTTGGTCGAATTACTGACTAAAATGACAATAGAATAGGATTTTTTGATCCGTTGCAGAACTGCACACACCAGCACTGTCCACCTCAGACATTTGGCTCAGAACGGCCAAAGGAGGGCAGCACAGTTCAGCACCTGATAAACGTGGCTGATCGACTTTCAGTTATAGGAACACGATGCATGTCAACTTATCTGACCACGCTGCAGTAACAGTAAACAAAGAACGTCTGTGGACGTCCAAAATGTGTTTAAAAATAGTGGTCAGTCGGGGACATGTTATGAGCGTAAGAGGACATCCAAAAACAGTTTTAAGGAAGTCAGTTCCTCTGTGACCTGTCAATAGACGTTTCAGGGTAACTCAGTAACAATGATAATGATCATGATAATAACAGTACCAGTACCAGTACCACTGCTTCTAGTCTTCTACTACTTCTACTACTACTACTACTACTACTACTAATAATAATAATAATAATGAAGAAGAAGCAACAAAAAGACAGCTGTATTCCAGTCAAGAGATAAAAAAAATAAATAAAGGCATGGTTTCTAATAACCGCGACCCTATCTGGACTAATCGGTTAACGATGATGATGATGATGATGGTTTCTAATACTGATTTTCCAATACTGATCTTTTTTCAAGTCACGTCAACATTACTAAAGCTAAGCCTGACAAAATAAAAGTGTAAAAGTCTAAATCTTTAAATATTAGTATTATCGTTTGTTATATATATATATATATACCATATATGTTATATGTTTGGTATATATTAGCCAGCTAGCTAGCTAGTTAGTATTTTATACAACTGCAGAAGCTGTAAGCTTTTTTCCAAAAGAAGCTGTCTTGCTTAGGTTAGCTAACTTAGTGCTAGATATACATACCCAGATGCCGCGTTGGGTCCAGTTAGGCACGTCAACGGCGCCGCCATTGACCGGAGAATAGAGAACTGTTTGGAAACGCTGTCCTGTGTTCGCCGAATTTGACCGCACCGATGGCCTCGACGTTAAGATGACGATGCAGTGTTTAAAAGTGTAAGCGTTATCTGGAGTGTGAACAGTGTTGCTGTGAATAATAATAATAGTTACTTGCTTCTCTGTTCCAACTCCATCAACAATAGAAAATGTTATTCATAACATGAAGTAGGGCGGCTTTTAGCATTAACATTAGCTAACTAGCTCGCTAGCACAACTATCGCGGCGTCCCAAACCACACACTTTGTACTTCACAGACGACACTAACGAGTGCACCTCTAATATATGCGCTATTTTTACGCACTATTTAGTGTGCTAGTATGCGGTTTGGGACGGGGTGTATGTTACCGAGATGAATCTTCATCATCCAGTGAGCCGCCGAGTTTCCTCTTTAGATGCTCCATCATGGAGGAGATGTTCCTATGTCAGATAATGTCGGCTATACAAATAGCTCATCTTTTTTTCTGAGTTTAGCTCCCGCACTTTTGAGGATTTTGTTCTTGAGGCTGCCATCGCGCTGTTGTTAAGTCTCCAGTAAGCGGTAATGTCAAAACGTTGCTAGTGAGCGTGAGAAAGACTCGTAATGATGTCACCAACTAATCGACTACTAAAATAGTTGCCGACTAATTTGGTCGTTGGTTTTAGTCGACTAAGTCGAATAATCGTTGCACCCCTATTAAAGAGCGACAGTTTAGGTAATATGCTGTCCAAAATTATACTATTCCAAGAATATTGCACTCAGAAAAGCGGGATAGGATTACATAACGGAGGAAACTCTACGCTCATGTTTGTGTGATGCGTATTGTTTGTGTGATGTTTATGTGTAGATATGGCTGTGTGGTTAGTGAGGCACAGAGAACCTGTTGATGTGATTGTCTTTCCTCTGGTTTATATTAAGCTTATTTCATTGAAGAGTCTATTTAGGGGATCTTAACTTTATCATTGTTATTGCTTTGTAGGTAAATTATAGCATTCCTGAATCCTTGTAGATATTAATAGATTAACGTTAGCACCTTCTTACACAAACCTGAAGTCAGCTTCTTATTTGCCAGCTTCTTGTTCAAATTTCCACCTTGAATGATGCATCAGGCAGCTTCTTGTTCGAATTTTCCCGTTCCACCTTAAATGGTGCATCAGCCCGCTGCTTGTTTGAATTGTCCCGTTCCACCTTAAATGGTGCAGCTTCAGGCACCAGAAATTTAAGGTGAAACGGGAAAGCTAGAAGAAGCTGGTGAATAGGAAGCCATTCAGCTTCGGCCTTCTTACTGTGTTTTGGGGGGTTTATTTTATTTTTATGTGTATTAAGATCAGAAGTGATTCACACATTGATGAATTTGCTGATGTTTCTACCGGATCTCGCGCTAATCTTGATTTTTTAACGTCAGGTGCAGACTGAATGCTTTTCTGCTGGTCCAGACGGCTAATTAGCACGATCAGTTATTAAATAAATAAAAGCTACCGTGAGCAGTCCGTGCAGCCTAGATCAATCTATTTTACAAAATACATATTTTAGATGAAAAATAAAATTGTACCAT